ATGTTCTATAAAAACATAATTGACTTTAGATGATGACTGCAAAGATCATTTGCTTTTGTGAAAAAGTGTCTCCTTCCTGTATTTTGTCACGATCAGTACTTTGACAGGAGATCCACACTGGTAAGGGCATGTGGTCCAGAGAACAGAGATGGGATATGGGGCTGAATCCACAGGTGGATGCTAATTAATGTGGAGCTGCTGGGAAATATATACTTAAGTAAAACTGAACAGTTTGCTCTTTATAAAATGGCATTTCCTCAGCATTCTGTTTCATCAAAAATGCAGCTTTTCTGTTTGATTCAAGACATGAAGTGTATCACATTAGTATCATGTAATTTTTCTCATTCTAACAATGCTAATTTCCCATTTCCTTCTTTTGCAGTCATCCCCTATAGAGGTGTTAAGCATGTTTAATTGTTGCTTTTAAGGTTCAAGCACTCCATATATATATTATCTGTAGGTTTGTATCTTACATGCTTGGGTTAAAGGCAAATCTGCCCCCCCTTCAGTAGCAGGCATCCTGCACATAAAAGTTGCAAAATACATGCCTAAACACGTCCCAAAACACAGTGATTTCTTGAATCCAGGTCATCAGATCTGTTTCTGCTATGCACAAACTCCTTGCCACTGTCACATATGCTATTTACATGCAGTTTATGGTGTCCCTAAGAGCTCATTACCTGCTGTTCTGTTTTCCTATGTCCAGGGAATACTTTCTAAAAACCTAGTGATTGCTTGAATAGCTGTATTTAGATCAAAAAAACCTTCCATGTTGAACTGTGAAAGCCCAGGTTAGAGGATTAAGGTATGTGAACTCTTCCTGTGATGTGAGATTTAATATCTGGTAAATCAGTTATATTAAAGTACAGTCTGCCACTGGGAATGTAAGAGTAGAAGGGATTTCCGAATTTGTTCATCAAATTGTTTCCCCCTCTTCCTGCTGCATGCTGTCACCATATGCACTCTCTTTGTGGGCTTATGAGTCTGTTTCAAATTAATTCAGGTTGTGTTTGCCCCATTATCATCCCCCTGTCCCCTGCAACCAGGTCATAGTAGCAGGACATCGTGGACTCTCCATCCCTGGAGGTATTCAAGGCCAGGCTGGATGGGGCTCTGAGTAACCTGATCTAGTGGAAGGTGTCCCTGCCCATGGCAGTGGGAACAGAACTATATGATCTTTAAGGTCCTTTCCAACCCAAACCATTCTATGATTCTGTGATGTTCCAGAAACTCACTTGTCTTAGTTTCCCCATGTGTAAGCTAAAGACTTTGATCTCTTTTGTAAAGACCCTGAGATATACTGGTGAAAGGTACTGTACAAGAGTAGATATTCTTGTTATAGCTTGATGCTATAAAATGCTCTTACTGTTTATACATATATATTTATAATATTTGTACTATTATGATACTTTGCTCAGAAGAGCTAAAGTAATAGACCAATATCACCAGTTCTATCCCTTGCCAACAGATGACTTGAAACAAATGCTTCGAACCAAGTATGTGGGTATTGGTACAGTGAGGGGTCTGGACATTTGGGATTTTCTTTTGTCTTTTCCAAGTTCCCAATTATTTTGTCTTGAAGTTTATTTATTAAGAGGTTTGGCACATACTTTTGTGTGCGTGTGTGTTCTGTAATACAACACGTAGCCTTTAATTCCCTGAAGAAAGCCTCAAAGTACAGAGCTCCAATGACATAATGTTTCTTTAGGAAAGAACTGTGGTGTATGTGGTGTCTGTATCATGCAATATAGTTTATTATGGCAAGCCTGAATATTTATGGGGTGCAGGAATGTTAAGTGATATACATACATACAGATATATATATATATAAAATCAGACATAAAGCATTCCAGAGCTCACTAGAGATTTGTTAACTTAGAAGTGACACCTCAATTTTATTTTTTCTATTTTCTTTTCAACTGTTTCTCATTACAAGCAGTCCTTCAATTGCTTTAGTTGAAAGAAATTATAGAAGATTCACTCTCTGGATTTCCTCAACGCTAATCATTTTCTCTCCTATTTGCATGAGTCCTCCATGCAGTGAGAGGAGAAATGGTTTCTGATTCTGTGTTTTGGGTTTTTTTTAGTAGGAAAATAAAGTGTAAATTCCATCACCTTTTCCAACTCTAAATATTGGCTGAGGAATATGAGACAGCAAAATGATCTGATTCTACTTAGAGTGTGATTATTTAAGGCTGCAAAGTGGAAAAATCTGCAGATAAAAGACTTAAATCATGGTTTCATACTCAGATTTTTAGGAAAGCATTGATCAATATGGCCTTTTAGTATGCCCTTCCCCGAAATGCACATTTTATTTCTTTATTTCTGGCACTTACACTTGCCTTTTTAAAGGATAACCACCTATAATTTTTTATGGAATCTGTTTGTTAGAAACTTTTTTGTGCTAGTTGTTCATTAAGCATTACAGTGTAATTTTCTTGATTGAACACTTAATAAAAAATAGCCTGGTCTATACTCTCCAAGTTTATTGGATATATTGTTCAGCTTTTGTTTTTGCTTGTTGGTTTGGTTTAGGTGGATTTTTTTCCCCCCAATCACAGTCATCTCCAATTTTGTTAACTGTTCATCTCATTTTACAACCAGATGGTTTTCCTGTGGGGATGATCAATAGGGATGTGTTCATCTGGTTGAAGATGGCTAGCTATAGCTCATTTGGAAGCCAAAGTGTTTAGTCTTCAGCTGACCAGATGTGGCTAGCAGAATTTTTCCTTTTTAGGGCCCTTCAGATGTGTCCAAGGCAAGGAGCTGTGTCAGTGAAATCAGTGAGAATCTTTGCAATGTAGGCTTTGACCTTAGGGGTCTGATCAGAGACCACGAGTGAAATACAGACTATGAGCAACTTTGAAACAGCTGCCAATAGAGCACTGACTTGGGCTTGAATAGCCTGTGTGTGTCTGAAATGGTTGTTAATGCTTGGAGGAATTGGTTGTCTACTCTGAATGGCTTTTACCCTATGTCCACATACAGCTGGGATCTCAGCTCTTCTCCTATACTGAGCCTGGCTTAACAGCACAGAGACACTGTTGCTTTCTAGGTCAGCCTTTATGGGATTTTTTTATGAATTATGGAATAGTTTTGTGAGGCCACAACTGTGATTACAGGTTTAATGATGCTTTAAACAAACAAAAATATAATGACTTTCATCAGTGTAAAACAGGAGCTTCCTGCAGGGAAACACCAATAAATGTGACTTCGCGGCAGGGGCACAGTCCTGGCTGGAAGCCAGCAGCAATCGGCACACCACATAGACCTTGCATGTTAACTTAATTATAGCACAGTGCAAGCAGCAGCTAGACAGTTTGCTGTGAGGAATCACTGCCAGCGTGGCACAGGGTCCATGCATTTAAAAGTTACCCATCTGATCTATGGCTTTAGGTAGTGAGATGCTGGGAGTTTCACAGCTGGTTTAGCTTTGTGCTGTTAGTAACAGCAATCTCACCATTGTTGAGGAAGCTCAGGTGGGCATGAGAGCCTTCAAATGGCACTGGGGGCACTCCCACCTCTCCTGCATAATCTCTGAACAGCTTCTGCCTTCTCTGCCACTCTAATCATCAGGAAATCATGAAAGGACAGATACTTCTGCCACTCTCTGTAACGCAGTTAATGGTGAAGCACTCTGATCACTTCTTTTATTTTTATTTCGTGGCTTTGGTGTACCTTTGAAAAGTTTCTGGGAAGGGCAAGCAATCTTATTTTGACTTCAGAATCATGTTCAAGTAAGCCTGCATCCTTCCAACACATTTGGCTGGCACATGGAACAGATATTTATGGTTTATTTGGATACTCTGACTTTAGGGACTCAGTTTCTTTCAGTAGTGATTAGGAGCATCAGCCTGTGTCAGGTCCCAATGTGCTGTACTGTTGACTTCAAGGGGAAAAAAAAGTTGTGCTTTCAGAGGGCTTTGGCTTTGAAAAGCTTTAAAACAAGTATGCCTAGAAGATCAGACATGGCATCATGTGCTTGTAATAGGATAACTAGAATCTTTTTCCAGGAAATGTGCTATGAAACAGGAGATTTTTACCTGTCATTGTTAGGAAGATACTGAACTCCTCCCAGGTAGCCACTTGTCAGCAGCTATACCAAGAGATAATGAGCAAGGAGAGAAATAGAGCAGCTATTCTTGTGGTTCCACAGAAAAGTCAGAGTTACAAGACTGTTGAATGGTCCCATGAGTGTTGAACAGCCTATTAAAGGAGAGTCCTGTGATGATTCTTCAGTTGCCTTCATGCAATAAGATAAGACAAGCCACTAGCTTACTTGGCCATTGTTCAGTGCTTCAGCTATACACACAGCCTTTCCATATACTTTGCCTCTCTGATCAGAAAAAAAATGTCTGCAGTAGCATAGTGGAGCAGAGACCATTATTATGAGTGTCATCTTGCACTAGCAGAGCTCTAGAAGTTTCCGGTTCTAGAGCTAGCTTAGATATCTGTGCATCACAATCCCATTGAATTGTGTAGTTATACCCCAAGTCACTTGTTGCCAGAGACTTAGGCTCCTAAATGTCAAAAATGTGTTTGAAAACAGTTCATTTCCCAACTGAGAAAATGGGGCATGGACCATACCTTTGTTTGCACCATCTCTTTATGCAGAAAGGATTAGGTGTATCACTATAGATCCTGACATGAGTCAGGGTCTCTACAATGGATAATTGTCTTTTATGCTACTTTTAGTACTAACCAATTCAGTTCCAAAAGAAGGAGCCTTAAATTTTATTTGCTGTTTTCTTTCTCTTTCTGAGTAGTTCCACTAATAAGTCTTGTTAAGATCATGACTATGTTTATTGTCTTGGTGTAAGTGTGCACATTCCTCTCAAATGATTGCCTCGTCACTATATTCTCTGGAGAGTGATCAAACTTACAGACACAGGCCATATTCCCAATTATTCTTGTAAAAGAGCAACTAATGCCTGCTTCTACCCCTCACAGAATTTACAGATGTAGCACCTTGGTGGAAAGTGTTCTGATGTTTCTTCTAGGGATTTGTGTCATGTATGGAGCACTACCGAAGAATCGGGCAGGAGCTGTATGCCTCTTTGTACAAGAACCACATACAGGTAAAGAATAGGAATATTGTGCAACAGCTTTCTGTTGTTGAAATGTTACTCTTGGACTACCCTGAGGAACTGGGCATTTCAGAAGTGAGATGAGTAGTATGCCTAAAGAAATGCTGAGAGTTGATGAGTCAATACTCCATCCCCAACACTACCACTAAAGTGTGATATAGCATCACTCAGCAATCAGATTCCTTTTTTCCTTATATTTGCATAAATTATTCCACTCTCACAGTAAAAGAAATGAAAGTGAGGACTTTGACCTTTAATTTTCTTAGAAGCCACCAAAACATTTTCAAAGAGGGCTCAAGCCCATAGCCAGTAAAATGTTATAGGCATGTTTCAGGATTGGTCATCAGAGACCAACAAACTTTTGTGTCTGAAATTCTCACCTCTTCTCTCCTTTAACTTGGTATTTTAGTGCCTCCCCAAATGCCTGCACACACTTCCTAATTAGAAATAATTAAATTTATGCCTTGCTTGAAGGGAGCACAGTACACTTCTGGCTGAGACTTTCAGACTCTGTTTTCAGCAAGAATGTTTGTTGCCATTTGCCACACATATATGCCAAAAAAAATGTGGAGTGAATAAAACTTCTGTGATGTGATTCTCTTGGCTCACTACTTTTGAGATAGAAATCTAACAAAAGCAGCCATTTTCAAGGAGGTTGAAGTTTACAACCAGTTGCATTTGTCACTGTACCTTAATTTGACTAGTAACATCTCTTGCAGCACACTTCCAGTGGTCAGCTGGACTTGTGTTTGCTAGGTCTGCAGGTTGGATAGATTGGGTAGATCCACTACCAATGCTGCTGCTGTCTGAGAAGAGGAAAGTGTCCAAAAGGTGACACAAACTGGTTCTGTCCCGCAGATGCTGCAGTGTGGTTACAGCAAAGCAGCCAAGGACTGGATGATACTTGAGGAGCAGCTTTTCTACAGAAGGGGCCCATGGAGAGATGCATCACGGTCCTTACAGCCACGATGGATTCTTGATTGTTATGAGGGACCTTTGCGAATGAGGAGGAGGATTCAACATGTGAACACCCGAGCAGCAATGATGCGAATGAAGAATGAGGTAGAAAGCTTTTGCAGGAGGTGCACAATTTCTCTGACAGTTGCTGGTGACTTTATAGAATCATAGAATCATTAAGGCTGGAAAATACCTCCAAGATCATAGAGTCCAACCTTTGGCAAATATGCACACCTCTTTCCTCTGGTTCTCCTCTCCTGACTCTTCAATATCCTGTGCCATGCAGAGAACCCACTGGGTTGGTCTGGTTTTGAGAGGTTGCAATGTGTTTAACAGCAACAGAATGATTTTGCCTCTTTTCTTGTATAATATTTCCCCAGTCATGACAGTATAACCTGTCCATACTCTTCCACCTGTAGTATCTCAAGGATATAGCACTTCCCAATGTATGCAACAGAGTCCAATTAGAAGGCTGCACTGTCCTGTTAGTTTTATGCTTATTAGTGCTACTAGAACTGGTGAATGATCAACAGGGAAATTAGAGTGGTTTAAACTAAGCATTGAACTGTATATGTGGAATATTTACTGCTGTCTCTCCCTCTAATGTCTGCATGATAAGTCCTATCAATCAGAAGCTGAAGCATTTTAGTATAAGGTTCCCATCTCTAGGACATTTTCAGCTTTTATGTGAAACTTGGATTCAGGCAGTTTTATAGAGACTGGGTGGTATGTTTTTTATCCTATAACTGGCCTCATGCAGGGTTGACCTTGAAAAGACAAAAGTCCTTTTGCTTAATTGTTGACATTTGTTCCTATATTCAGTTGTTCCTTTGGGTTCCTTTCCAATGAGTTTGTTTGAATTTCCAAGGCATTTATTTCCAGTGTAATTCTAAATCTGTGTTTTTCTCTGCAACAAGGTTCTGAGTTATGTTTACCTGTCTGCATATTCCACTCCAGTTATACCTAGTCTCTTTTCAGGTTCTCCTAGCACACAGAAATGAAACAACTTCCCCTGCTACAGTGAATCCAGGTAACCTTTTAGAGCTAAATTTACATCACCAAGAGGGTGGATACAGTCAAAGATAATTGGAATTAGTGTGTGGAGTTCCAAGTCAGAATTTAAACCAGTGAAAAAACTTACTGTCAGTGCTCTGGGCTAAAAAGACACTGTAACATCTGGGAAAAGACTGATGCAGTTGTGATAGATGGTACATAAACTGTTTTCTGGATTTGTTGTTCTCTTGTTTCCACCTGAAGAATCTGAAGCAAAAAAAGCTATCTTGAAATTAAAGCTCTGGGGTCACTTGGGCACTCAGAAAGCTCCCAATTGCTTAAACTCAGAAGGAAAAGTGCAGACTTTCCCCCTGCTTTTAGCAGACAGTGCAGTTCTACCTCTGAAGTAGTATTTAAAACTAGGCTATAGATATAGATGGCACAGAGAAGTGGTAATAGGAATTGAAACTTAGAAAAAAATGTGGACAAAATAATGAAGAGTGGAAGGAAATCATCAAGACTATTAACATGCCAAACTGTCCAAAATGGAATCAGCTCTTTCAAAATCATATGATTTTGTCACCATTTTTCATTTTCCAAGGCCATATTTTCTGTTAAGTGAGACAAAAAGAAGAGGGGCAGTGGGGAGAGTGAAATATGGTACAGAAGTCAATAGTTTTTCAGAAAGAGTAAAAAAAGATAGAACTGCCGTTTGGAAATGTCAGCCAAGTCTATGGCTGTGGATTTCAGCCACCTGTATGTCTGCTCAGGGTCAAGCTTCTAGTGTACACTGTTGAAAATATGCAGTGTTGTTGTATGTTTTTTAGTATGATAGGGCCTAGCAAACAAGTGAGAGTGGGGCTCATTGCTCTAGACTCCCAACAAGCTGGAGTGCTATTTAGTTTCTGCATGGAAGTGGTTACGGTCTGCCTCAATAAGAAGGCTGATTGTGCCTTTCCTAACTGTGTGCACTGCATGAATTTGCAAAACTTGGGACACAGCTTGGGCAAGATTTAAGTGGATTGCCTCTCCTTGGGGTTTTTAAAGATCCTGCTCAGTGCATGTCCTCAAAAGATTATAATTTTAAATTTTTCACTTCTCTCTTGCCTGTTTTTTTGCAGATGAATAATGCTCTTTCCCAAGGTGGAATAGGTTGGATAAAAGTCTAAATTGCAAACACTTTTTGGTTTCATCCAGCTGCCACTAAAACTGCAATCTCTTTTATACTGATATAGGAGAGCTGATGTTAAATGGAGCAGAAAGGGAGATGGATAAGAAGGGATTGGATTGTAACCAGCTAACATTCTTCCCAGCTCTACATGAGAGTTTCCATTCAGAAGACTTCTTGGAACTGTGTGTGGAGAGACAAATTATATTGCAAGAGTTTGCAGAGAGTGAAAAGGTATGGAAGGAACTAGAAAACTTTCTCCGGGGAGATGGAATTTTAGAGCGTGAATTGGATGTCAAGGCCTATCTGTTCCTTTCAGTTCAGAGTTCAGGTGGATTCAGGCTATAGTACACATCATCACTATCTGTTTCCTTAGAGCAGTTACCATTTTCCAGCCTCTGTATGAACTCCTACATAGTCTTTTCTTGAAGAACAATTATCATTAACTGTTTGAAGTAACATAAAAAATCTGGGCATAGAATACAAGGTATTCTCCTACTTGTGAGACAGTATTGTTTGAATTTGCTGAAGGCATGGCAAATTATGAGACTCTGAGAATTCCTGTCCTGCTTTTACTCATGCTCAGAGCAATGCCTAGGTCAAATTTAGTTATTACCTCTGGAAGAGTGTTCCAATTTGACATTGGTTGCTAGTTCAGTGATGCTTAAATCTCTTCCTGATAAATACCAGAAAATGTTTTCTTCCTCCCTTCACATGTCTTTTTCTTTCTGTCTCCCTTTGAGTACTGGACAGATTTTTCCCTCTCAGGCCATAGAGACTTTCCCTGCTTCCTCTTTGATGCTTTCATCATGTGCCATCTAGTATAAACATTGCTATTCTTTCTTTGTTCTTGTACTGGACTGGATACCCTTCTCCCAGGTTTCCTCCCAACATAAGTAAGAGGCAGATTCAGGAACACTATGGGAGGACATGAGTTGTGAAGTAAATAGGGGAAACTCTTAGGGAGATGTTAACTTTGGTGTTGTCAATTTAATCTCTTTGCTCAAAAGTCAGCAACCTTCCCATTGCTTTCAGCATAGTCTCCACAATAGTGACTCCAGATCAAATTCTTGATGTTGGATATGCACTGCACATAGCCATTTTCCACAGGACTGTGGGAGATTTTTTCATGAGGAATAGACCCAGCCTCATTCCCTGATCTTTTGCAGTGTGACAGGTTTTTTTTCAGTGGCATCATTCCCCCATTGGCCTAAGAGTTAGCATCCCATAGTGGAAGCCAAGGTGCAGTATTTAAACTCAGTCATCACAGTCCTGTGATAGTATATAGATAGTAGTATATAGATAGTAGTATATAGATACAGAAATAGCTATTTTATTTTAATGTCTCAATACCATCACCAAATTTTCTTGATGCTTTGCCAGTGGCTGGGGGTTGCGTTCACGCTCTTTAATATGATGACTTCCTCATGCTATCAGAGCTGTTGGTGCAGTCTGTTTATGTAACATAATTCATTCTCCTGCCCCTCCTTCTTTTGCCCCTTCCCCCCATACCTCTCCCCAGCAGAAGGAGACAGGCATGAAAATGCAAGGCATGTTTTCCATGCACTGATCTCATTTTGAGCCTTCGGGCTGTCTGTCTCTTCTCCATGTAACTCTGCAGGAAGCCATCAGAAATGCCAGGCATGTTTTTTTCCAGCAGCAGTCACTGCATTGCTGAGCTGACAGAAGTATTAACAAAAGCAGTGGGGGGTGACATTAGCTGTCCTGTGCTCACTTAGTGCACCACGGTCCTGCCTCTCAGTAACTGCCTCCTGAGCTGTTTGCACTTTAAGCAGGCAACTGGATCCATCTTACCTCCTGCACTGCACAGAAAAGTCATTGTGATGCTTTGGCAGACTGATTTCTGGAACACAGGGACAGCTCTTGTCTGGAAAGTGGTCATTGTTTTGTATTGTCTCCCAATGCTATTTTTCTGTATTGCCATTAGACACCTTTGTACATATTCAGATGTGTGAAGTGGCTCTGCAGAAGCCAATGATATTGACACTGTCTTTTGGTTCATATTCTATTCCTCAGCGAGTTAAATCAGGAGAATATTAGGTGCAAGTGGGGTATTGCTGTGCTAATATCATCTAGTATTTTATCTTACTTGAAAAATAGAATAGAAAACATTTCTAGGCAT